AAATACCTTCAAGTCTTCGTTAACCACAAACAGGAGGACTGGAGTGAATGGCTATCATGGGCAGCTTATGCTCATAATAATCGCCAACACTCTGCCATGGGCTTTTCACCCATTAAAATTGTCTTCAGATGAGATGGAGAAATTTGCCCTACCATTCTGAAGCAGTCAGAAATGCCATCAGTAACTGACTTTGTCAAAAGCCTTCAGGAAGTCCACAAAATAGTGGAAGAATCCCTGCACAAGGCTGTCCAAGTCATGAGAAAGGCATATGACAAGCATACCTGTCCTGTGAAGGACTACCAACCAGGCAACAAAGTCTGGTTGGATTTGACCAACCTTCACCTCCCATGACCAGCAAAGAAAATAGGTGATAAATGCATCAGCCCTTTCAAAATAGTCTCCAAGAAAGGCCTCTCCATGTACGAATTAAAGTTACCCACTGGTTGAAGGATTCACAATAAATTCAATGAGCAATATCTAACTCTGTACATATCCTCGGAGTTCCTGAACCAGGAGAAGCTGCCACCACCAGAACCAGAACTGGTAGAGGGCAAAGAAGAATATGAAGTAGAAGAGCTACTTCAGGACTGTGACCACATCATTGGTCAAGGATGCAACCAGAGGACCATAATAGAATATTTGGTCAAATGGAAGGGCTATCCAGTCAAGGAAGCCACCTGGGTCAAAAGGAGCAACCTTGCCAATGCCAAAAAGCTAGTCAACAAATACAAGGAAAATGAACACCAACTTGAAAGGATCCAGACTAATGCTCACAACTCAGGTCCTCTTCCTGATGAACTCATCAATCACTGTGAGAACAAGGAAGACCACATAACAGATCATGACTTGTAACACTTGTAGGGTCAGATTGACAACACCCATGTCATCTATATCTCTTCAGAGACCAAGAGCTCAACAGTCTTTTCTTCAACAGGCTGCAAAGGTTTATTTGCTCCTGGAGAAACATCTGAATATGGCTTCACCTCAGAGTTGGAAGAATACAATTCAGATACAGGATCTACTAACTCCCTGAATGATGGGAGTGAAGATGCCTAACAACTGTCAGGATGACAGTCTTAGTCAGGGGGTATTGTTATGACTTTACCTCTACTTTTTCTTATCTTATCTTATCTTTCCTCCTCATGTTATCAAGCACTCATCATCCAGATCTTACCTGCATCACCTTTGACCACCTGTCCATTTAACCAGCTGCTGCATCTCAGATCACCGACATTCCTTATGTGCTAGCACACCTCTTCTGATGCCATCATGCTTCTTAGTGGTTCAAGACCATAGACCTCTAGTCGAGGGCAGTCTACAGGATGAGGACTATTCAGATGGAGTCCCACTGATGTGCTCGGTAACGGTGAGTGACTAAAGGCTAGTGAATGGATATGAACACCACAAACACCAAACCCTCTACTACTCTACACAAATCACCAAATATATTGAATTCGGGCGTTTTGAGTACGATAGAAGCACTCTACAGACTTCAATAATCAAGGGAAGTTGTTATAAAGATGTTTATTTGTCACTAGTGAGCTATACAAAGGTACTACTCACACTAGTGGGGTTGGTAAGACACAATTGAATGTAATAGTGACTTGTTTGGAGCTACTGCGCTCGCTCTGACTGAAACTGCTTCGAACTAGTGGCTCTCTCGGCCCTATACTGCTTCCTACAAGTGATAGACACTTGACTAGTCGCACTCTTGGCTGACTAGTGGCACTCTTGGCCTAAGAATAATACTTTAAACTTCGAGAAACTCGCTTAAACTAACTTCGAAACACTCTGAGCCTAGGCAGGACACAACAGTGGACTCTAAAACACTTCTATTCACTCAATACTATGGGTAACTTAGCGACTAGTCGCCGCTTCGTCGAGGTTAAGCACAAAAGCCTTAAATTGGGGCACTAGTTACTGACTAGTAGGTCACAATCGTGGGGATGGCTTGCCTGCCTGCGTGTGCACCTACTCTACTACTTATATACTGACTAGTAAGGTACAATCGAAGTATAAATAAACTGGGTAAAGGGTATTATTGGTAAGAATTTCTTGGCTAGTCACGAGTAAATGGTGAATGATCACGCAATACGCGGTCTAGAGGTAGTTTCTTGATTACTAGTGGGTCCAGGAACTCTGCAAGTGGTCCTCTTCCGCACCCTCGGCCCAACAATGCTCCACTAGTGTCATGGATAAGCTCCGATTCCAGCATTCGTGCCTGTAGTAGCTGTTCAATCGTGATCGAAGACGGGACCCAGCTATACTAGTGCCGACCGGAATAGATCTCAATCGCCCTAGTCAGATCTGGGCCGCTGGCTTCTTTCACTAATTCATTTCTAAGTCCCGTTAGAGACCGCCGTGTGACTAGTCAAACCATCTTGGGCATTCCTGCTCGGATCGTTCCACTAGTGACTGTACTCTCACAAGATCTGTGTATTCTGCTTCTTGTTGGATGCTCTCGTAGCTACCCTCGTCTACTAGTGACCGTTATTTAATGACTTGTACTAGTATTCGAGGTACTAGTCATGCCGGCTTATAGGCTTGACCCACTAGTGGTATCGTGCCTAAGTCCTGGCTCGACTAGTAGCTTCCTGGCTTGACTATCAGCTCGAAGCCTCTGCTATAGTCCTCTAGTTATGACTAGTCAGGGATAGATATGCACTAGTATTATTACAAAATCGCAAAATCAAGGTGTGAACGCGTGGCTAGCATATCACCGCTTCTATGTGGTCTTTATGCTCATTCATTGAAGGCCTCACTTCTCTATGTGAGAAGTGCAGCCAGTACTTATTATTAGGTAGAGCTAACATGTATTTAAGCTAACCTATGCTGTGGTCTTAAGCCCCAGCTTCAGCTAAGGTTATATACTCCCAACTCTTATCTGAACTCCAAGTTCTGCAACTATCTAAGTCCTGTCATCTTAATGTGGTCTGCATTGCTACCTTTACTCTGAATCACTGAACGCAAGTGACAGATAAAGGCTTGACCTTGCTTATCTGAGTTGGTGCTTGACAGCAATCTTTCAGAGTGAATTTAAGTTATTTTACATAAAAAACACTTATCTTGATCAAAAATAGAGATGATACAAGTTGTAACTCTAGTGAGCTCATTAATTGAACAATATAGGCAAGCACTGACTTAGCTCACTTATTTTACAACTATGTGTAGGAGTTCTCAAACTGACTTAAGAACACTTTAGAAGTGCTGCACAATAGACAAAAGCTGAGTAATCTCCACAAAGAAGATGAGGTGTGATTATCAGTTATGATAATAGTTGTTATGACAGTTTACTCAATTCTCTTTTATTCTTGACTCTTATCCCTAAGCACTAGCAATCATCATAGTATTGCAGTGCCAGTTAATGATAATCAAAGGCCTGCTACCACTTTGTCTAGGTTTTTCAAATACTAGTAATGCAATACATTTGTTCAAAAGGATTGAGCTGAGAGACATGAGTTGTATTAGTTTAATATACATACACTCTAATACTATTCTTGATTGAAACATTGTCAGAGTGAACAATCAGTCCATACTTTAAATAGATCACTGTCATAATAAGATATTGTAATGTGATTACAGTGTTCTTATTTTTGTATCTTATCTCAAATACAAGGCAACAACTAAAATAGTTTACATCCTATTATAGCTACAGCTTAAGTGCAGACATATAGCAAGATGATCTTCTATAATGACTCTAGTGGCCATACTAACTGATGCTCTCAACAGGAAGCTTGTATACATGAAATCAGTTATCTATGAAAATGAGTATTTTTCTCTATCTCAAATCATCTATTAAAAAATATAATATGACAGTCTACCAAAGAGAGAATACTCTATATTATAGAGAATGACATTGATTCTTATACTGGATGTCAATCACTTTGATTATACAATCTGCATAATAAAGTTAACACTTATGCTGGTTTTAACTTGTTGTTAAAACTGTTTTGATAACATCAGCAAGCCATTTGCCATAATCTCTGTATACAGAAACATTGCTCTTCTGATGTTTTAAAATAAAACTATAGAATGCTACTGTTCATCAAAGGTCCAATTTAAACTAAGCTTTCATTATTTGTTGCAGTGCCAAAAGCTTTTTTGAGAATATAAAGATTATCTGTTCAATATTACAAATTTTTTTCAGAGTGGATACTGTATATAATGAGGAGAATTTATACTAGCTAATATATCAATAAATCTGCTCAGGCTCATTATTATCCTTCTCACACATCTTCAATGTCTTCTCAAACAAATCTTCCATCTAGCCTGACTAATGCTGATATAGCAGAAATTAGTCAAGTGTTTAACTCTCTATTAAACTCATGCATATTCTCCTCTCTATTACATGGTACATTATATCCATTAAATTTTTAAACAATCTTGTTTGACCTCAAACCTACAGGTATATACACAGGTGTCCTTGCTGTAACTTTGTGGAGTATTTGTAGATCAGTTATATTTAACTAAGCTAGTATTTAAACTGACTGGTATATACAGATGTTGCCAAGTCTTGACAAACACAAATAGGCTTGGTTATTATTACTATAGTCTTTTATATCACAACTTCCATCAATGCTGCTTTTCAATGGTTATATCTACACTTGGTCTTTATTAACCATGGTCAAAATCTATGGACCAAATATTTTTATAGTAACAATGCCAACAATACAATAATAACAATTAGTGCAGGTATTACTGCTACTATCAGTACTATCTTTGCAGATTCTACTATGGTATATTATATGCTTTTATTAAAAAATTTAAATTTAAATTAATTTTTCAAACTACAGATTTGGCATTGTTGGCAAGTCTGGGGACGATGCTGGCTAATTGTTCTCATTCCCATTCTTTGTTTACTTGCTGGTATTGGTGTGATCATTTGACATCTTTTGCAGTTTATTTTTGATCTAAATTTGATGTCTCTAGTTTGCAATATCTTAGCCTTGCATTAAGAATATCTGATTGGTGCTCCAATGGAGCCAATTCTCCCTGTGCTTTATATCTCCTTCTCACTGGCCACAACATTATTTTGCACTTTATTAATCATATATCGTATTTGGAGAGTTGCACGGATGAGCGATGCTGGTCTCAGAGTTTATGGTCATGTGATTGAAGTCTTTGTTGAATCTTCAGCTCTTTTATCTGGATCTCTGATATTATATGTTGCTTTTGATGTTTCTCAGAGTTGGGCATATTTTTATTTTGATGCTCTTGCTGCAATTTCTAGAGTGCATACATATTCTTTTTTTTAATTTTTGTATCTAATAAAAAAGATATATAGAGTATTGCTCCAACACTTCTTATTGGATGTGTTGCAGCTGGACATGCTCGTCCTGATGACTCTTGGCAAGGCAGTATAATATCATCACTCAACTTTGGGCCTAGTCACTCTCAGACAAGCTCACAAGAAGATTCTACAATCAGCATTAATCCTAATGATGATCTTGAAGCACAACACTCAGAAAGAGATGGAATATATGAGTATCCTCTAGGAGGTTCAAATCAGGAGAATATCAGGCAGAGGATCATACACAGTGATAACTTAGAGACTCTGCCAGAGGAAGTAAATAGTGATTTTAACATGATCAATGTTGTCTCAAGACATTGATGTTTTATTGACTTTATAGATTTATTCTCTAGAAACTTGTATTTATCTAGCTGACAGTGTTCTTTAATTATTTAAATGTTAGCAAGCTGCTGCCACATATATTTAATCTCAGTTAACACTACTTAAACAACTTTATACTGAGGCTTTTATATATTTTTGGTATCAGATGTGGAAGAGAATTTGATCTATCATTAATAGAAATTTAGCTAGTATTTATATCTAGATGATATAATCCATGCATCAATTAAAAGTCTAGAGGCAGAAAGCTTGAAAGTATAAGTTAGCAATTATACTAATAGATTGTTAATGGGTTTGGGGGTCTGCCTTTAAGTGTGCCTTGTTGAAAGCCCTTAGAAGCTAAGCAAGCTGTAATGTGCATGCCAATCAAACTTCAACTCCAATTCTAACTTCAACAAACTGCATCTTAAAATTCAATGGATTCTAATTCTATTACAGTTTTTCCCTTATCTTATTGTTAGTGTCTGCTTTCATCCTATCTCTATCTCACTGCCAGAATCCTTTATAATATTCATTACTCTCCATTATGTCTCTGATAGGTTAGCTCTGGCATTGCACTGGCACCTTATTGTTCTCTTTATTTTACACATGGATATCATCTTCTGGACTCATTGTAGAATACTATTATTAGCATAGCCTAACATGTATTTGAGCAGCCTCAGCTGTGGCCTTGAGGTTGTATACTCCCAACTCTTACTCTTATAGCTCTGACTTTGAGACCATCTAAGTTCTGCACTAGCTATGCATTACAGCACCTGCACTGATTCACCAAATGCAAGTGACAGTCTTGTGTTTGACTTTGTTGAGTTGGTGCACAACATTTAGCCAAGGCTCATGTTCAGGTGCTCTCATCATTGTTGCAAAATGGTGACTGCACATTTATAAACTTTGCCAACCAAACCATTATCATCTTCCCCTGCCTTTTAGGCTCACTCATTCTTCTGGCCTTTGTTTTCCTCTATGGCCACACCCACAACAGACAATGCTAACAAGTACTGACCCCCACATGTGGGCAAGTATACAGGCTTGACAGTGATATGCCTGGTATCAGGCTACCCATAGATTTTGCGATTTTACATCAATTTATACAGTCTACAAGTGGTACAGAGAGCTACAGTGGAAGCTTCGCACTGGTAGCTAAATACTACATAAAGAAAGAGAGTATGGCAGTACAGAACAGACTTAGAAATGACATCTCGACAAGTCACTTCTATCAGCCATCAACATGCCAAGCTAAGCCCTACCTAAACAAGACTATTACGGTCAAATCTCAGGGACTTGCCTGTATGAAGTATCAAACCCAAGAGGCTGGAAACAGAATAAACTAGATGCCTTATCACCTCAATGAGTGGAAATAACCTGTCCAGAAGAATTGCTAAGTCAAGAACAGATCAGCTTTTGAGATGAACTCAGTCTATAAAAAGAAGAACCTTGGAAGAATGAATAGCCATGTTGGGTACCGAGATGACCGGCCTTGATCATGCAGTGATCAACAGGATATAATCTTGGACCTGCAGTCAATTGCAATCAGTGGTTACATCCTCAAGATCCTGCACAAACCACAGTATTCAATACATACAGTGCATGGCAAGCCTTGCAGATGGTAGAAGGAGCTCCCATGGACCAGTAGAGCACTCCTTGGTGTATTACGATTTCGCACCCTATCTTATCTTATCGACCTCATCGTAATCATGCTATGCCAATCCTCCGACTTGGATCGCACCACACCATGCCAGTATCGTGTGTTCACCGCACCGCTACAGACTCTTGTACTATACTTAGAACGACTCAAACTGTATTTAAGTAGCTCGACTGCAGGTCTTAAACCTCAGTCTCAAACTAAAGTTTATTCACCTGATAACTTAGTCAGAACTCACTCTCGACTCGCTAAGTGATAGCTCCCTGCACGCAAACCTGTGAGCAACATATAGCGCCTGACCGAAGTGCGAGTCACGCTTAGTTGTTTGATCTTGTTTGTGTAATCGGTCGCTAACAATTAGTTCGAGACTTTCTTACTCTTCAACAACAACCACGTTGTCGAACAGTAACGAATGAACCCTATCGAACAAACCATCTCCGACTTCATTGGATTGCAAGGCCTGTGCACCTTAGTCTACCTAGCATTCCTATATGGATACGAGTACCGACGAAACCAGGAGCCAGTCTCCGAAGAAACTATCCCCGTCAAAACCTCCAACGAGGAGGCTAGACGACCGGACACACCCCCACCCGACTACGTCGACGACAGACCAGCCGGAGACGTCACATTCATCCACTTCATCTTTATCTCTGACAACTCTGACTCCGACTCCGACATGGAAGGATGGCCCACACAAAGAGGCCCAGTCGTTGAAGAAGAAGAAGAGCAAGGACTCTATGAACAAGGGGTGGAGCAGCGTGTTCTCTCTCCCATTACCAAAGAGGAAAGCGAAAGGGAAAGCTCGGGAAGCGACCCCTGGAACGCCCCCTCCCCCACCTCCACAGAAAACTCTGCCGCCAACCCTGGGTATGATTCAGACGGGCAGCGCCTCTATCAGCGAGGGCTTAGATACCGTCTGGGAGAAGGAGGAACGATTGAAGATGGAACTGGAAGCAGTTCAGATGAGGAGGGCAGCACTACAGAAGAGGACGGTAGCCACCATGAGCTCCCAGGACCGCAGAACGACTGGTCCCCTCCAAGGCTGGACTCCAGAGGAGAAACATGGGGTTACTACTATGCCCGCAACAACTCAAGCAACGATGAAGGAGCCTATCTCGACCTCGTCACGCGCCCAAACACCCCAATCATCATCAACGATAGGGCCGGGGAAGCCACTACCGAGCTCGACCAATGCGAGCCCACTTACGACGCCGACGCCAGCTGCGATATATGCAGACAGGCACAGGACTACGCCGACGCCTGGCTCATGTACGAAGGAATCGAACCCCCTTCCTCTGTCACCCCCTACACAATCTATCCCCTTGCCGCAGAACACCCTCTCGCAGCCCCCGTCCCCTTCATTGCACCCTGGGTATGGGATAGACCCCGAAGACCAGACTTCGACCAAGTCATTCTCAGGGTCAACGAGTGGGCCCGAATCGTTAGAAACTGGAACCGTGTCGTCACAGGAAGCACGGAGCCTTTTGAGCGAGTCCGACCAATCGGACTTAGAAGAAGGAGAAATTTACGAGAACCCTGGAACCGGGCCGCTTTCGATTTGGAGCGGCAACACCGGGCGGGAGAATATGGAGACGAGGATGTCATTCCAGAATTCGTGGAAGGATCTAGCTCGGGAGCCTACTGAGGCCGAGCTTGAAAATATGACATACTTGGAAATGCTTCACTGGACTGAAAAGAAACTCCCACGAGAACTCTCGTGGAACGGTTCCCCCCAAGGAAGACACTTCCAAAAGAACAAAAACACTCCCGTCGGGAGCCAGGTACTATATCGGGAAACAATCTTCCACACGAACATTCTCTGGAACCAGGTACACCCGGATGACTACACCGAACCTGGAGAACGGTATGAGGTACCAGAACCGTCAGAAACAGACAGCGGAGAAACGGTGGACTTGAGCCACCTGAGTATTCTCAGAAGGACCGGATATGTGGACCCAAGCCGGCTGTTCACCGCAGCAGGGACCCCACCCACGCAAGGAGCAGCAGCGGTGCCTCTCCCCGCAGCACCCACGGGACCATTATCCCCGCATCATAATCCAGCCCTGAGATCGCTCCCCCGGCCGGCGGCAATTCCTATACCCGCCGACCCAGTACAACCACCGACAACACCTCCCCCGTTCCTAGTGGGAACGGCGAACACAAATCCGTGGGCACAAGCGAAACCCCAACTGGCCAAGCCCCCTGAAAAGTTCAAAGGGGCCTCGAACGATGTGGACAGATTCTTCAACCAATGCGAGGATTACTTTGCAGTATTCCCACAACAATTCACTATGAACGCGCATGGACAAAGCCCGAGCAGGGTCGTGTTCTGCACGTTTCGATTTGAGGACAAAGCCCTACACTGGTGGAATCACGCCAGAGATGACTACTACGACCCCGTCTGTGATCATTTGCGATACCCAGCATATCACGTATTCAAACAAATCGTAGAAGACCAGTTCAGGACCGACGTGGAGGTAGAACTCAAATTACAGGAGTTCAAACGCCTTTGCCAAAACACATACAAATCCGCTAAGGAATTCTTCCGTGACTTCGAAAGGCTGGCAAAGGAAGCCGGAAAACGCCACAACAAGGAATACATGATCGAAATCCTCAAACTGGCTATCCGGAAAAACGTGAAAACTGCCATACATGCAACAGGCACCGCGTTACCCCACACCTACGCTGAATGGAAGTTCCGAGTGGAACAAATGGACTACAACTACCGAGTCGGACTTGCGGAAGACACTGGACGAAGTCAAGGAAATCAGATGCAGCAGGCAAAAGGAAAAGCCGGGAACGCTGGAAACTCTCAGGGAGATAAGAAGACGGGCACGGGAACTACATACAGCGGCCAGGGACAGCCCATGGAGATAGATCGTCTCCGCAAAAAAGGGCGATGCTTCCGCTGCGGACACAAAGGGCACCGCAAACAGGACAAGAAGTGCCCAAAAGACGAGAGCACCTGGCTCGTCAAACACCAGCCCAAGTTCTCCCGTGCGGAGGTCCGCGCCATGTACCAGCAAGTTTTAAAGGATGAAGAAGCGGAGGCCTCGACGTCAAAGATTGAGGAGGTAAAAGA